AGATTCGAACCCTCGCGCATGCTGGGTTTCTTGAGACCCTTTTCCGCTAAACCATCTATACTTTTATTATTTTTATATGTGCTCTCTGGTAGATATTCAATTTTTACTGGTGTCCTGGGAACCCAAAGGCACCCATTCATCTCCGCCCCGGTATATGACGGTTCCTCATATGAACACACATAGGTTTAACTCTAGTTAGGTATATTAAAAACACGAACTAGATTGGTCCAAACAAACGCACCCACCTCAATGAACTTAATCAAATGGGTCCTAAAATAATGTTCAATGCATGTGCCTTCAACCGAACCCAACGGCCACAATATCAATGTCTTTAAATGGTCTCGATCTTATTATGATACGCTTGATTTATATATTTATATACGCGCGTGCACATAAAATGTATCTAAGTAAATCTTATTGATCGACCATTTTATTAGCCCGTATCGAAATCCAAACCGGTTTTGTTCAGGTTTTTTTGACTCCGGTCGGAGGTTGATCCCGGTTCATTTTGATTCGGATGGAAAATTACGTCCAACCCCTTCGGTTGTTTCAATTCTTTTATTGGCACGTTTTGCAAACTTTACTCTCGTACCACTTTCTTCTACTTCAACCTTGACGTTCTGACATTCTTTCCCTTTTTTTTGCCCCCCATATATTTCTATTTTTACTATTTCATGATAATGTGTTTTTGACTTGTAGCATCATCTTATGTTTCTTCCAAGTACTTATTGATAATATCTATTCTAAAACAATTGTTAGGTAATATTGATTTAAATCTTATGAGACATGTTTCCTATACATTTTTCATATCCTTCCTGTTATTTGGAAGATATTGTTTTAAGTGAAACTATAGGACATTATGAAAGGTTATGCACCTTTTACCGATCTAGGCCAAATTGCGAAACAAATATAAATCATGGAAAATAGACACGGGATATATTTAGGAGAATTACAAATATATTAGATTAATTTAGATTTTTGAATAAAGACTGTCATATAGTTTATGAGAATTTTCATATCCGGCACACCATGTGTCCAATAGATCAGATGTGTTGAATACTTTCTCCGTGACGCTTTTTAGGCAATTGTCTGTCGTGACATACCTATGTTTATAATTTTTAATAAACAAGATTAAAAGATGAATGATAACTAATAAAGTAACGTTTTAAAATTAAAGGAGTAAAGGGCGTGAGGGTGAAGTAAGTAGTGTTTGTTTGTTTGGTTGATATTAAATTGTGTTCGTCGTTAGGGTTGTCCCCCAAAATTGGACACACAAACTGGGGTGCAGTGTGGATGCTCCCAGAAAACACGGCCTAAAGTAAATTCTTTTATTTTTAAATTATATAAAAAGCATGAGACAAAAATTCGAATCTTCCCTCTCTCTTTTTTGCTTAATTGCGCCTCTTTTCTTTTTTCCTAATCTTTTTAACTTTTGCACTTCTGGTCTCAATTAGCAAAAAGGTCGTGGGCCCCATCTGTGTTAGATCATTAAGACCGTCGCCCGGCATTCGTAAAGTTTGTAATTATTTATTAATGATGGGACTTAATGGCAGTCTTTGCTTGCCTAGTGTTCTCTACAAAGCTATCTAGTCTATAATAATCCTACTTAAATTGGAAAGTTTCCTTATAACACCCTCCTTTTCACTTTTTATTGTGTTGGGGACGTTTAAGTAACGACAAAAGAAGTAGATACAACAGTAGTAAATATTTTCAATTAGAAATGAAAACTAAGAAATCTTAAAAAGTACAATTTCACACATTTCCATCCCGAAAACTCACCCACAACATCTAAGAAAATATTATTTTTATCTAATAACTCATCCATCACATCTAATAAAATATTAACTTCATCCAAAACTCATCCATCACATCCACCACATCTAATAAAATATTATTTTCATCCACAACATCACTCAACTCATCTCAATAAAATATTATTTTCATCCACAACATCACTCAACTCATCTCATCTCATATTTAAAAATCACTCACATTATCCAATAAGATTGTGACAACTCAATCACTCAACTCATCTCATCTCATATTTAAAAATCACTCACATTATCCAATAAGATTGTGACAACTCATTTTATCTAATTAACATTTTATTTCTTTGTTTTCCTCCCAAAAAGCTAGGAAAATAATTTTCTTAAGTGTTGGTCACATCATCCAATAATATAATGACAATTCATCTCATCTCATCTATTTTTTTTATTTTTAAGAAATAACCAAACAAAAGAAAACAACATATTACAAAAAATAAGTTTCTTATAATTCATTTCCTTATTTTTTTTCGCCAACCAAACAACATCAAAACAAGTTTTCTTAAAAAATCACTCACATCATCCTATAATAAGGTGACAACTCATCTCATCTCATCTTCATTTTTTTGATTTCCTTCTTTTTTTAGTCAACCAAACAATCCCAAAACCTATTTTTTTTAGAAATATGTTTCCTTTTCTTTGATTTTCCTCTTTTTTTAGGCAAACAAACAGCCCCTAAGAAAACTAAACAATTCCTAGATTTCTTAATTTTTGTTGGTCTTCTTTTATCAGCATACTTCTGTAAGTAATATAAGTATGGGGCTGTTTGGTTGTTGTTGGTAAAGTTGTGTATTTATGACACAAATTGGAAAGTTGTTGTCCACCTCATCAATTTTACTTTTATACTTTTCTTTGTTTGTTTTTGATTCCATTGGAATCATAAAACACTTGTTTGGTTTGTAAAATAAATTTTTAATTGTTTGTTTGGAAAGTATAAAAAGTTGTCCCTACTCAAATGATCATATTGGTTGGAATTATTTTTTATTATTTTTTCCTAACTTCAATGTTAGCTTTCTCCTAAAATCATGTCTTTTTTTCATGAAATCACTTTACAAGCCACATCAGCATATGAAATCACTTACACTATTTTCACAACTACAAACAAACAATTGAAAGTGATGAAAGCTGGCATTGGGACCCACTTTTTTACACTTTACAACCTTTTACATGGTAAAAACATACAACCAAACAACCCATATGTCTCTGCTATTAATTTAGAAATTTAATCTTGTCAGCAGCACTGATTATTTTAATGTTATGAAGTTTGGATGCAAGATGAAAATATTTTCAATACCGCGAAAGACTTGATCAAAGAAATTCACAGGGATAGTTTTTCAATATTAATGTTGAAAAATTAAAAAAGCTTTGCTACAGGGACAAAAAAAAAGGGACCAATAGGTGAGACAAATGAGGTGTCCCCATCCTATTGGATAATAAGTTGGCCATCATTAATGATGACAAACTCATTATTCAATAGGAGGGGGACACCTCATTTGTCTCATTTACTGGTCTCATATTTTGGGTAACTGGGGGATTTTTCAAATTAAAATAACTATTCACGAGCTTCTATAAACTCGTTGAAATTGGGATCATCAACTCCCTTTTATATTCCCAACTAAAATTATAATATCTATATCAATAAAGTTTTGTCATTGAAATCAACAAAGTTGAAAGTATATTATTCCGTCTTTTAGGTCATCGCTCAACGTCTAGTAGTTGAAAAATCAAAAACGTAGTTGAATATTAAAAATTGGAAACCCACAAATTAGAAGGCGGAGGCCGAATTAATTATTTAGAAATTAACCTCTCATTAGTCAGATGACAGCGTGTTGACATGAACAAATACAAGGATCCAAAAAATGAGAGCCTTTGAATACCACCTCACACATCTTCCCTCCCTAAACATGGAAATTACAAACTTTACCGCTATATTTCAAACTATAATTTTGAAAAAAACCGCGAAGCATAATTACTCACCTTGATCTGTGCTGGAAAAGATTATGTCTATTTAAATAACCAACTTACCGGTAAAGTAGTTTTCTATACATTTTAACAGTTTCCTTACCATGAATACGAGAAGAACGCGTACATTATCTATTCCTCTATACTCATAGGACCTAAAGATTCAGTATTCATACTACAGTGAATGACACAGTCTACCGTATTATTTTTATTGTAGCACAAAATAGAATATTGTAGCAGTAGAAAAAATTAATGTATCGTTGGAAAAAATACTGTAGCATTTAAAAAAAGATTAGTATAGCGGAAATAAAAAAAAGGATGTTTTCTACAGAGTGCACACTAGCTAATTTTGCACCCGCGCACATTATTAATTTCCAAACAAATAGGAAAAGGACAGGGTCTTAATAGCAAAACGGGGAGCCTTAGCCCAGACCGCGAACCGACGTTTAAAAAAAAAAGAAAGAAAAAAAAACCGGATGATTGTTACAATCCCCTGCTCCTCTCACTCTCTCTCTCTCCTCCCTCCCTTTAAAACCAACCAAGCCTCTCTCTCTCTCTCTCTCTCCTCTCAAAC